ATATATAATTTTTCTGCAATAATTTCACTGTTTTTTTGTCTTTTTGTTGCATTTTATAGTTGATCAATTTGTTCTCCTTTGTTTTTTTGCAACCTTATTTCAAAAAAAGGTTAATCTTTTAAATTTTCTTTTCATTTTTCAACCTTGTAAGCTGATTTACAAAAGATCAGACCTTACAATACAGGACACTCATTTTCCCACAGTACCCTGTGGTTTTCAGTAATATACTGTGTACATATTTACAGTAGCCTTGCATCCTGTGTTACTGTAATATACAATCTAAATTACACACACAAAAAACTTTTACAGTGTAGATTGAGATCCAACACAGAACTCAAGTTTTCCAAGCACAAAAAGTGTAAGTCAGATACAATGTAATTTCCATTTCCTCTCATCTTGCTGCAGAGATCATTTACAGCTGGGTGTTTAATGAGTTCCCCTCGTTTGTTGCTGAGGACAGCCGGCGCTTCATCTCGCAGGTGACGGGGAACCTGTACGTCTCCAAGGTGCAGCCCTCCGATGTTGGGAGCTACATCTGTCTGGTGAAGAACACGGTGACGAATGCGAGGGTTCTGAGTCCTCCAACTCCTCTGACACTGAAAACTGACGGTGAGGATCCGGTGGGTTAAATTATTTAGGCTGTTGCTGAGTCTTCTCCCTGCTCATCAGACCTGACTGTATAGCAGGTTTTTTTTAAAGGTCTGTTGAAGTTTTATCTCCTATTGATTGTTTTTAGAGCAGATAAAAATCTAAAAATTGATTTTGGTTTTATGCTTTTGCACAGATTCATATCATAATGCATTCTGAGATGTTTTTCTATTTTATTTTATTATATTTTATTTTTAGTGTAGATTGGATAATAAAAACTGGTCCTGCTCCCTCCTCAAGGTGTTTTGAATACCATACCCAATGTAAATAGATAGTGAGCGATGCGTTAATGTTAGTGCGGGGAGTCTTTGCTCACATTGTGCTTACGGAAAACTGGCCATGTGGGAAATCATTTTCCTGCATAAAATTAACTGAATCAATGGCCCTTGCAGTGGAGGGGAGTTTGGGCTTTTATTTCTGCCTCTCAGGAGCCAAGCTGTCTGCTGGATGCAGGCGTGAGCATCACCTCCAGGTGTTTTACCTCTGACTGTACAAAGACATGTCCATCACACACAGCTGTCTGTCACTGTTGGGACATTTAAAATGTACTGTGATAATATGCTTAACGAAGCCACTAAATGCATTCAGATTTGTTTTTATTTCTTTTCAACGTTGCAACAGGATTACATTTCTTCCAGCAAGTTTGTTGCTCTTGAATTGCATAACCCTGTTTGAAGTCACCCTGTGAGACTTGTAGATTATTTTGCATATATTCATGTTAGACTAGTCATCTAACCAGATGCAGTCAGAAGGTCAGTTGAGCTCTTTTATGCGCAGGATTTTTATTTTATTTTATTTTTTAGTTTTGTTTTGTATTTTACAGAGTGAAGAAAAAAATTATTTTGCAGAATCAGTGTAATGTGTTTGTGCAAAAAACTCATCCCTTTATAACTAATGATTGTTCACATGTTTAGAAAAGCATATATTTGAGCTTCTTCCAAACTGTGCCTGGTAATAAAAGCAAGGTACATGAATAAATTAATTATTTACATTTTGTAGTTATTTGAATTATTTCGATAGATAAAAGATGGATCGTTTTTTTTTTTTTTATTATAGTAATCTCAAATATATGCATTGCCTAAACAAATTACCCATCTGATTTTTCAGGCTGTTAATGCTGTCATAAACTAATCAGGGTCAATATAAACTGGCCTATAAAAAAATCTTCCATCTCAAAATTAAATCAAATTTCAAATTTAGAAAGTAATGCCAGTAAAATTTAAATTTGCAATACAATGATTGCATAAATATTCACCTTTTTTAAAGTGACTGTCTGAATTTAAATTAAAACATATTTTAAAAGTACAAATCAGGAGATGAAGCAGTTCTGTTAAATCCATCAGGAAATGGAAGGAATATGAGACACGTAAATCTACCATGGTACTTGCACGCTGTGTTTTTGTGTTTGGAAAATAACAGGACTGGAGAAAATGGGCCAGGTTTAAGGTTGAGTTTAGACGCAGCAGACCTTTGAGCAGAACATGGTTAAAGGTTAAAGATTTAAACTTTAGGTCTCAGGGACACGCCCGTTCAGTGCAGATCAAAGTTAACGGTGATGCGTGTCGACGGCTGCTTCCCTGCTGCACACTGAAAGCTTTGTTGCTTCAACTCTTGAAGTCTGCAAAACATCAACCAGTGCTTGAAGATGATGCGAGTCCATCCATGTGGAGGTTAAAGTTAAACCCTGAAATGGAGCGTTCAGCAGGATAATTAACTTCAGCGCACTTCCAGATCCATTAAGGAAAGGCATAAAATGCAGAAATGAATGGTTATAGAATGAAAAGCCCAGGTTTGAATCCCATAGACATTTTGTGTGGGGATGAGAACAGGCTGCACATAAAAGAAAACCCTCCAGCATCTTGGAACTGAAGAAATAATGCATGGCAGTGAAAAACTTCAGCAGGCTGATGTCACGATCTTTCAAAAGGCTCACAATGAATTTCAGCTAAAGGGAGCGACAAAAGGTCCAGAGCTAAAGCTGGACGTAGCTATCTACACCACGATGCTTTGTGACTCATCTTGCTTATTAAATGAAATTGTGTATAATAAATATAAAGCAGCTGTGGGTGTCACACAAACAAAAAAATAAATAAAAAAAATTATGTGTTGGCATATCAAATCCTTGACTTTAGCCTAGATTATAAAATTATTTTGTAAAAATATAATAGTGTTGAGTCAAAGTACATTTTAAACCCTTATTTAAATCAAATAAGAGGATTCACAGAATCACCTTCTTTTTCTCTCTGTTTGAAGCCACTTGTATAAATTCTAAAGTATTAAAATATGAAAATAAAACAGAGCACATTTTGAAAAGACAAAGAAAAAAAGGAAAAACAGAGAAAATGTCCTGTTTTTAGCTGTTTTTCAATTTTCTGTGCAGCTGCTCTTCCCTACAAAATGACCACAGTCGTTCCAGAATATTTATATTTATATTGTTCTCTTTGAATGCATTTTCTTTATTCCATTCCAAGGACAAATGCTCTTTTTTAAAAAAGAAAAATTGTTGCTATAGTTTTCTTTTTCTGTTTTTTTTTTTTTTGTGTGTTTGAGCTACAATATGTTTGAGCTCCAGCTTTGCAACACAACACGGCCAGATTAGATCTCTACACCTGTAAGTCCATTATGCCAAAATTATCTTGGCCACTTCTGCTTTTCATACCTTGTGACGCTCAGCGGCCGTCTGTGTTGTGAATTTTGGTGTGAAAACACTGTAAACTGTCTTGGCACACCTTGCGCTGATCACCCAAATGTTCCAGTGCTGTCTGCACCCTTCAGTCACTGGAGTCTGACCAATTAGACACCGCAATCTGTGCTTCAGTACAAACTGAGTGATGATTACACGACAGACAGTTCAAGCTGGATCTGTGCACAATTCACCACTGCTGCCTCCAACTCTGACTCTGTTAATCAAAACAAGCATCTGGGCTCTGTTATACTCCGCTGGAGGCCATTGATCGTCAAGTCGCAACCCACCCTGAGCAGAACCAGGATAAACAATGAGCTCCAAACTCAGACTTTCTTTTAAATTCGTCAAAAAAAAAACATATTTGTCTTATTTATTCTGTGTAAAGTAAACAAACGGTGAACATAAACTACTGAGTTTAAATGCACCAACACTTTTTCGCTGTATATACACTCTTTACACTGACTTTATCTTCTTTTTGATCAGTTTTGATCATAATAAATAAAAGAATTTATAATTTCTGATGCCAACCCGAATCCAGATGGCCACCACAGCAAAGCCAACACAAAATGGTGAAAACTCAATTTTACCGACAATTTTCTACAATGTATTCTTTGCACACTCAGTATTCAGCCAAGTTCTGTGTTTAAAACTTTACCAATAATTTAATTTTAACTTAGCTTCATTCGTTTATTTAAAAAGCATTAAAATCATTTTGTTGTCAACTTTTCTCAGTACACAAGTACACAACAAAATGTGTACTTGGAGTCTCTAAGAGTGCAGAAAAGTTTAATTTAGTCTCTCCTGGTGCTGCAAAGATATCTTTATATTCTGTTTGGGTCGTATTTTTCAGTTTTCTCTATTTTCTGTAATGTCAAATTACTTGTGACAGAACATCCTAATAAGGTCTGGACTTACCAGCTACGATTTGGTGGTCTTCATTCTCCTCTGGCTCCGGGTCAGACTCTGTTTCTGGGTCAGACTCTGGTTCTGGGTCAGACTCTGGTTCTGGGTCAGACTCTGGTTCTGGGTCAGACTCTGGCTCCAACATGTGAAGCTGGATGGACAAGTCTTCCCTTGTTAACATCTTTTAATTATCTTGTAAATGAAAAAAAAATCTGCACAACTATATAGTCGTAAACCCCTCTATCAAACTGGAATGGACTGGTGTGGAAGATTGGGTGGGGGGTGGAGTGTGAAGTGCCTCGTTTTGGTTTAAAGAGACAGCCTCAAAACGAGCTGATCTGAGACATGCCTCAGAAAAGAGGTGAAGGAGAGGCTTGTGGAGTTACAATAAGAAGGAATTAATAATAATAATAATAATAATAATAATAATAATAATAATAATAATAATAATAATAATGCATTTTATTTATAAAGCGCCTTTCAGGACACCCAAGGATGCTGTACAACAGCAAAGAAACAACTCTAGGTACATAGAATGATAGGGTAGTGAGGGAGAAACACATAAATGTGGAGTACAGAACAGTCATATAATAAAATACAATACAGTAGCTAAATAGAACAATATTGAATTCAAACCAAAATTTTGAAGTTCCACTTTATTTGGACCTCAACTGATTTTAAATGCAAAAAAAGGTAACAACATGCGTCTCCGTTAAGCTATGGAGCTAACATACTGAATGCTGATCACTAATAAAACACATATTTTAATTCCTAATAGATCTTGCAGGATCACAGGATATTGTAGTATCCCACATGGATTTTTCTTCAAGATGTAACCAATTTGTCTCTTTTCAAGATTGTTTTAGTCTAAAATGGGATCTGCATTCCGTCTGTTTTGATTGCTGCGTTGTAAAATATACATATATATTTCTGTCTAATAATTCACCTCCTCTGAAGAGGCATTGCATTTATATTTATTTTCAGTTCTCAAAAACCTTTAATGTAATTTCTTTTGGGATACAAATCACACCACTAACCAAATCTGAGTTACTACCATTTTTTTAACACTTTCTTTATATTCATTATCTGCAGGAGTACAGGAGTAAACCTTGCAGATATTTTTTGTTATGATCAATGGGTAAATAATATGGGAATTATTCCTGAATAATTACCACAAGTAATATTTGGGTGCAGCTATATGGCTCCTGGATAGCACACTGAACCCTAAATGTGTGTTATCTTTTGCTCCCAGATAAGTGGGGAAGTTATTAAAATGGTTTCAGCAGCAGAATATTCATGTTGCTTTAAGACATTTCCTCCAGCGGTGCAGGTGGTGACATAAGGTTTAATGTTTGCACTAGTCTGTCTCCAT